GGGTCTTGAAAATCTCCAGAGAAGGGGACTCCACACCCTCCCTGGGCAGCCTGTGCCCGTGCTCTGTCACCCGAACCATAAAGAAGTTTTTCCGTGTGTTGGAATGGAACTTCCTATGTTCCAACTTGCACCCATTGCGCCTCGTCCTGTCACTGGGAACCACTGAGAAGAGTCTGGCTCCATCCTCCTTCAACCCACCCTTTAGATATTTGTAAGCAATAATAAGGTCTCCCCTCAGCCTTCTCCTCTCCAGGCTAAAGAGTCCCAGCTCTCTCAGCCTTTCCTCATAAGGGAGATGCTCCAATCCCTCAAATGACGTGCTTTACCGTGCAGGATGGCAGGGACCCTGCAGGTGTGAAAGAGGCAAGGTAAGAAAGCTCGTGCAATTAATCACGAAGCAGATATGGCATCTGCAAACCTCCAGAGGCACGCTAATGGGAAAGAAATACTAAGGGATGCTCTTGTATCTGCAGCTGACACCACTGAGGGGAGAAAAGGAGATGTCTCCTGCCTCTAGACAAAAAGACAGAATCAGAGCCAATGGGGAGACTGACCACCCCGGGAGGTGGGAGACAAGCCACTGTCCTCCAGCTGCGTGCCACTTGTGGAGGTACAGCTTCACGCACAAATGTGGAGAAATGGGCAGCTTTATAGAAACACAACACAGGTTTCTGTTTTAATGAGAAAATAATTATATACTTGCATTGTAGGCCTCACAGTCACTATAAAACAGAAGCAGGATAACATTTAAGTGGTTAACATACAGAAAGCCAGGTATTGTTGAAACTGGTTGATAAGTCATGACAAGGATGCCACCTTTTGGTTGCCAAACAAGTCAATGCTACTGTATTTTCCTTCAGATAATGTCATTACGGAGCAAGACGAAGCCCTGACTGGCAGCTTTTAAAACGAATTGTTCAGAAAACCTGCACTGTAACCCCAAAGTGATTATAATCACAAATGCTAATGCTTAACTATTTCTCAATACACAGTTTCATTAAACCAGTCTTTGCCACGGGAAAGGATCTGAGCGTTTCTTTTGTGGAGACAAAGTTAACTCTGCAATAGTGCTCTTTTGTTGCATTTGATATAGTTTTATATATAGATAGATATGTATTACTGGCGTATATTTATAAACACCTAAGCTTGGTAGCATGCAAATGAAAATAACAGAGGCTAGTAAACTGCATCGCACTCGTGTTACCACAGCACTGAATATGTGCTGCTGACTACGAGTGTCCATAATTTCTGGAAGAGAAAAACTGCTGTGTGGAAAGCCTGGCGGTCCTGCACTGGTACATGCAAATACTTTTGTCGCAGGGGTGAAAGTGAATGCTTCTAGCACAGAGGACTCCTGCCTAGCCTCTCCCTACCACCACATCCTCTTTCTACGGGAAGAATTTAATTTTCACTTCAAAGACTGAGGGCCGATTGTGGCGGTAAGGGAGGATGTGGCAAAGCGTGAAGTCTTGTGATGGGTGATCAATGCCACTGGCTTCCAGTGAGACAGCAGGAGGGAGAAGCCAGCCTCCAGGTCAGAGAAAATGAAGACGCAGGTTCCTGGGAAGGGAGCCCAGAGCTGCCCTGGTTTCAGGGAGCAAATATTGGGAGAAACTCTGAAAAGCACTGTTTGGTGCAAGACCACCTTGTCGTAAGTTCAGGGGCCATCTCCTCTGCTCAGGAAACCCGTTTTTCCCAGTCTCACGCTCTCCCCAAGGGTGGAGGGAGCCAGGACTACTCTTGGTACAGATGTGCAGAGCTCATGGATGCGGCTACATGACGTACGGTCTCACTAGAGTGCTGCATTGGTGGCGTTTGCTTTTCTTACAGTCTCACAGTAACGACCCGCCTGCAGACGTGAATTACTGTCGATTGCCACGTCTGAACAACGGGTCCACTTCATTAGGTATGTAATTCCTTCATAGGCATGGTGCCTCCCCATGCACCTGGGTTCAGAGAGCATCCTCGAGCAGCTTGCT